CTCTCTCTCTCTCTCTCTCTCTCTCTCTCTCTCTCTCTGTTTGTAAATTTGTGTGTTCCATACTAAGGACGATCCACACTGCAACCACGGCCTCTAACCAACTACAATGACGCTAGACGCTACTTTCTCTCTCTGTCTCTGTTTGTATTTGTCTATTTGATCTCTGAGCAACAACGACGCTCAACGATTGTCATCCTTTTTTAAATTCTTTTTGCTGCTCCCGTCCTTGCGGAGTTTTTCTCATAATTCGGGAATCTTGTAGCGGAATTTTTCAAATTTTCACGGTTGGGTCTCCAAGAAATTAAATTCCGCATTTAACACAGGCGGGAACCAGTGAAAGCGCAAGCGGGCGCTTGACGTTCATAATGTGTCATTTTAACGGGTCGCGGTTCTCCGAAATTTTGGCGGTAGCTCTCCAAAATTCCAATCTTGAAGACGGCCTTCGGCGGGAAATTCTAAGCTTTTGACGACGTTCTTGACGACGGTCCCACTGGCTGGGAGGTTGAAATGATTTGTTTTACCGGAGTCCTGGCTGAGCCTCTCCGAACTTTTATCGCTAACAGTCTGAAAATTAGACTTTTGCGAAAAACTTGGCGGAAATTTGTCAAATGTTAAAAATATTCTTAACGTGATCCTTGGCGGGAATTTGTCAAATGTTAAAAATATTCTTGACGGGATTCTTGGCGGGAATTTATCAAATGTTGAAAATATTTTTGACGGGATCCCAATAGCTGGCGCTCAAAATTATTTGTTTCTCCGACAGTCCAGGCTCTCTGAAATTTTGTCGCCAACGGCTCAAGAACTCTACTTCTCTAAAATCTGTTTGCGGGAAATCCCAAATTGCCATTGATATGCTTGACGGGGATCGGAGTAGCAAGTGTTTTCCTTTTGTTTCCATTTCGTGTTCAAGGAGTTCACCCCCGGGTTAGCGACGCTCTTCCGGCCGTCCTCTGACACACTTTATCGCGCCTGCACTGAGTCTTCTATATTATAGGTGACGCCATCGTCATTTCCAAATGCCAGATAGGTTGTCGTCTCTCCCATTCTTCCCGATTTCGTGTTCAAGAAGTATACCCCCGCGTTAGCGATGCTCTTCCGGCCGTCTTCTGACGCACTTTCTCACGCTAACACCGAGTACTCTCCAATCTAAGTGACGCCATCGTCACTTCTACACACTAGAGAGGTTGTCGTAACGTATCTTTCTGCCATGAATTCTTTAACCGAAACAAGTGCTCAGAGTAGTCGCAAGAGTAACCCCGTGAGATGGTTTCCAGACTTTTCTCAATGCAAGAGCAGTGTTGATGCCAACAGTGTCAAGACGAAGATTGTCAGGTGGTTTCCGGACCTGCATCAATGTTGTACAAGCGGAGGGGAGAAGCAGAACCCTCTACCGAAGGTCAGTGCAAATGGTGAGAAAACCGCCGATGACTGTTTGTTTCCGAAGCGTCCGCGATCGAACACGACAACAGGAACGGTTATTACGTCATGCCGAGCAACAAACACAGTGATGGGTGTCTGCGCAGCCGGCAAAACGGGGAGTACAATCCCGATAGAGCGCCAAGGGAAGCGCCAGTGCCCGAACGCTGAAGGCGAACAATCCAGAGAGAGAGACGATGTACAGGACATGAGCGAGAACTTTGTTGTGAAAGAAACGCTCCACGGCAGCGTGGCGCAAGAATTGCGTGACAACGGCACTGAGGAAGAGGAACCTAGTGACGAGGATGATGAGGAGGGTGAATCGAGCGACGACGATGAGGAGGAGGAGGAAACGAGCGAGGATGCCGATTCGGAAGACAGACTCTAAGGATGATGAAGGGAAGAACGAGTCGGGAATTGATGACGACATGTTCAAGAAGAGTCCATCTGGAGATCTTTTAGGAGAAGCGAAGCAGATAATAGCACAGGAGGTGAGAAGAGGATTGTACAACAAATCAAGCAAGAGTGAAAAACTACCTTACAACTTGGGAAAGCGCGGCAGGAACGTACGTGTGTACAACAAGAAAGCTAACTTCCACGTCAACATGAAGAATGTCGAACTAGTTATGAAGGAAGATTGCTGCAAGGCCAACTGTTACAAGAAGTTCACGACGGTAGATGTTTTCTACAAGCGCGAAGAATTTTGGGCGATGAAACAACCTGAGCAACTCAACTTCTTTCTCGCAGAGATGAGGGTTGCGTCGTACTTTTCGGAT